TTTATCGCGTTGAATACATTTATTGCTAATAGATTCACCAATAACTGACTGATTACCTCAGCCAAATATCTAATATTTAAGAAGGCAAGTTATCAACAGCAAAAGGATAAATCTCTTGAAATACGTTCGTCAAACGTTTTTGCGCACCCGCAACTGTTCATCAAAACCAAAAAAAGAACATAGCACACGAAATATGAATGAATAATAAAGAATCAACCTCGTCTGTCTGAGCAGTACTTTGATGAGATGTGCATCGTCCTCATTGTAGGTCAGCAGAACGCGTTCAGCATAAGATGGTATTGGATTTCGATACGCGACCGAAACGTCTTTATATTCAACGTTACGATTACCCGCTTGCACGACGCCGGAAGACTGCGCTACGGCAGATGCTTCTAAGCTTACGATAGGCATGTGTTTGTTGATCATCACCTCAATTATATCAACTTATTCACCGATAGTTAATTCAACTTAATCTGACTTATCAATGATAATACCAATTGCTTACATATGCGACATTGTATCAAAGATATTATTCTTTTATTCAACAATATTCACATCGATCTAAAGCAATATATAACAATTTCAGTTTTCCGACTTGCAAATTTGAGTTTGTAAAAATCACCCTCAAATTCATATTCAATACAATAATAACGAAGATTAAAATAATGGTGATGATCACAATAATGCCAGTAATGAAGACAAAAACGACGGTTATAATAATAATGATGAGCAGATTTAAGAAACCTGTTTCGAACGAATGCGAGCTCCAGCAAAAACAATTCCCTCTTGATCAAGCACTTGATGTTTATAGATTGGTTTACGAGTTGTTGACTCGATGGTTGGACCCATTAAACGGTCGAACGTCTGATTCGGATACTTCTTGGCTGTTCCCTTTGCGTGTTTGTACACCAANAATCACTTTTGTCCATTACTCGCGATTTCTTTCAACAGAACGATAGCATTTGAAAATGAAAAACGAGTAATGAAATGAAGCGAATCAACGAACCTCGATCAAGAGATGCTTTATTCAACACCAATGCGTCCTCGATATCATACCCGCTATACGACATCACCGCTATGATGGCATTCTGTCCGGCTGGTAACTTTTCGAAGTTGCAGAATTCAATTGTCTAAATAAATTTCTTCAAAAACATGAGAACAACGATAACGATAAATTATTGACTGTAATGATAACAACAGTAACAATGATGAAAAATATTATCAACAAGAACTGATAACAAACCTTCGATTTAACGAGTGGTCGTTGCGGGTAGACGAGAAGATACATCAAAGAGTCAATCCGTTTCTGCTGATTGTAACCAATCGTACCCATCGCTTGCTTACCCATAGCACATTGGTATGTATTTCGAGGGCTCTGATTATGATGAGGATATGGAATTAAACCTGCACAAACACCCAACAATGTGAACGGCTCGATCTGAAATTCTGCGTGAACATTCACTGATGCGATTATTATTACTA